ATAATTAAATATCTAATACTATATAAATCATAATTTAGTATCTAAAACTTAGCATGATATCCTCTTACAAAAGAAACCATCCTAAGAATGATCTTGATGAGTTCATTCAACAAAAGTAACCATCAGGTTCCTAAGGACAAGCCTTATTCTAAAAAAAATACAAGAAAGGTAAACAAAAGAGGATTAAACACTGTCATTTACAAATAGTTCATCAAGCCACGACGGAAAACTTTCAGATACGTATAACTAAATTCGTTCTCCGCTTTTCACACTTATGGCAATGAGACGGGAAACTACATAAGTCATCTAATTTCTTTTATAAAGTAATGAAACTACATAAGTCATCTATTTTTTTTTTTAATTACAATAATTATTCAATTTTTTTTATAGATTATCCAAAATATTTAAAGTTATCTGAAATACTTGAACACGATATGGTTTTTCATCTTTTGACGGTGATTTTAAATATGTGAATTATATATACCATACCCATATTATCCGATCTATTTTTATAGACATATTTCAAATGTAATTTTTTATATTCTAAATATTCTTACGTAACTCTTATATTTAATTTTGTTTGATATTTTACCCAAAACAAACATATTTATATATCAATTGGTACTAGAAAAATTGTTGAATTTAGTTGAATTCAGCTAAATTACGCAATATTTTTTATTGCTTAATCTAGTTAAATGAAGCTGAATTTTTTAAATACCAAATGGTATCTGTGGATTTGTTGAATCTTGCGGAACTGCTGAATTTAGCTAAATATTGCCCTTAATTATGTTACCATTTAGAGCCTTAATTTCTGTGTTATCTCATGTGATTGGTCTCTTTACCTTTGTTCTCTTGTGGTGTCTCTATTTTGTAGTGAAAACGACCAGTTTTAACCCGAGTTTTTTCTCTCGTACATTTTCATACATGAACTTTTACTTGTGTCTTATTTCAACATAAATTCAAAAATAATTTAAATTTCACATATGTTCTAATCTTCATTGTGCCAAAATCTATATTAACCTGAACGATTTTGCTGAGTTGGACGACACGCATGCAAACTACCTGGTTGCGTGGATCTATTTTCAACCTCAACTATTTTAAATATGTGATTTCATACTCCAATTTTTTTTAT